CCAGTTATCCCACAATTCAATCTCATTTTAAAAATCAGATGTTTGCCATACAGGAGAGTGTTGGTCTGTTCTGTATATGAAAACTTTTAAATAACTTTTTGAATGAAATGTCTAGAAAATTTTCCCTCAAAGTTCAAAGTTTAAGTACAGAAAAGCCTCCATCAACATATAAATATATATATATATATATATATATAATATCCTTTTAATCATCAAAGGCCATAGAGAAGTGAGGACCTTTAGAGAGATGCAAAAGCATTTTCCAACTTTAAAACATTAAGATATGGCTACGGTGATTAGTAAGATTCAGTTTTACCACATACTGAGGACTAGATGGTTTTCTGTACATTTTCTGAGTCACTAATAAGTGCCACACATGGTTCTAGTCATAGGTATAATTTTTTAAAATCACACTTTGGATCCTATTTTTGGTGAAAATAAAAACTCAGTGGAATTTTACTATCTGAATGTGTTGTGTTAAGTGCCGTTGAGTTGGTTCTGACTCACAGTGACCCTACCTAGGATTTCAGTCCAGTGTTTTCCAGATGAGCTGCATGCCTCTGTGCAAGCAAAGTCACTTCTCTGAGCCTCGACATTCTTTTATAGGCACAGAAAGCCTCATCTTTCTCCCGCGGAACAGCTGGTAGTTTCGAACTGCTGACCATGAGATTAGCAGCCCAATTTGTAACCACTTCGCTACCAGAGCAGCCCTACAATGAATATACTGCCTATATGTTAAAAGACAGTTCTAGTATGGCGCTATAGGATAAACATTGGACGACTAACCACAAGGCCATCAGTTCAAATCCACCGGCCACTCCATGGGTACCCTACACAGGGTTACTATGAGTCTAACCAACGTGACAGCACTTTACAACAGCAACAATAAAAAAGAGTTGTTTCTAATTAAAAGTAGGTAAAAAATTTAAACTAAACGGTTAAGGATTAACTGTTACATTAAAACAACTAAATACAATTTCTCTGTTATCTTTTGGGCAAAGTTAAACCAGCTCTAATATCTAGTTCTTTCTTCTGGTACTATTTAAAGAAACCTAATGAGGAATAAAAATCTGATTTAGCTTGTCTTTCTAAAAGTTTCCAATGTAATTTGATCAATAATCCATGCCTTCTTATTGTTTGTGATGTTTAATTTGTTACATATTAAGTTGTTCTACTACAAGGGGCTTATTCCAGGTCTAGCTAGTCAGTTCACTGATTTGTCTGTTACTTCTGGTCACTGAGATCACAATGTTGTAAAATAATCTTTCATGATTAATAGAACAACAGGCCATTGCATTAGTTTTTATTTTTCAATGTTCTTAGCTAAACTCATCTTGTTTATTATTCTTCTAGATAGACTAAGCACTATAAATTCAATCTTTTATTTAAGAAAATGGTTCTATCTTAAACTAGTTATCAACAAATGAAAAACTGTGTAACTGTATATATTCAGGTGGGCATGGCAAGTGTATAAATTATACTTTCACATACCACATATCATAAAGTGAGTGTTGCGGGATAATGCGCTGGACCACAAAGTCAGTTTGAACTGCAAGGTTGGTGGTTCAAATCCACCAGGTTTGCTCTTTGGAAACCCTATACAGGGTCACAATGAGTCAAAACTGGCTCGAAAGCACTAACACCAACAAAGTCCTTTACTGATGGACTGGAGAACCCAGGTAGTAGGAAGAGCTTCAGTTGTTAAAGAATTTAAATGACCAATATCTGAAATAAAGTGTATCCACAGATCCATAAAGTGTGTGTGTATATTTTCACAGATTCCTGGTGTGGCACCAGAGGACAAACACTCGACCACAAGGTTGGCTTGAATTTCAAGGTCAGCAGTTCAAACTCACCAGTCGCTCCTTGGTAACCCTATACAGGGTCACTATGGGTCGGAACCAACTCCATGGCACTTAGCAACAACAACATATATATTCATGTGTGCACGTATGGATATGTGTAGTGGTGGTGGTGTATTTTGTAAACTACAACCAGTTATTTTTCTCTTCATTTACTTCTACAACTGTTTCAGTCATTTGTCACAAAATAAAATTCACTGCTCTCTGGTTGTTTTTAAATTTATATCTCTTATACTGAAGACTTACATATAAGAGATCATACAGAATGCACTGAGAAAGCAAAAAAGATTTGATTACTAAGCAAATGGCAAAAAAAGCAGGTATTATTAGTAGCCAATCTTGTGGCAGCCCACCATCCCTGCAAACCCAAAGTCACAAATATTTAATGCTGCTGGGGGCAAGGGCATGCATAAGTAATGCTAGAGCTTTTACATTTTACAGTACAGAAAGAAAAAAGGCCACATAGTGGACAGAAGGAAGGTTGTGAAGAAGGCTATTCAAGTCTAAGGAAGATACATTCTTTAAATCTATCTAAAATATGAAATTCACACTTTAATATGGACCTTTAAGAATGCTGATTCTCTTTCTCTGTTTATTATACACACAGTCATGTGCCTGCAATGTGTTCTATTGGTAGCAGGCAAAGTAAACATTATTTGTCCTGGAAAAGGATCCTGCACTTCAAGTAAACTGGAGCTTGTACAAAAGTAAAAATAGGTTGTTTATGTTAGAGGAGCACAGAAAAGAAAATTGGGGGTGAATGTACACGGAAGTGGGAGTCAAGATAACAACATGAGAGGAATACAGCCCCCTTCTACTCCTCCCTAAATACAAAATCTCACCAGCTACTGACAAAGGTATCTCTATCTTTTTCTTCCTGGAGAATAATTTAACTACAATAGTTTTAAAATCAGTAATTTATACTCCAGTTATCACAGTTAAGACACTAACTAGGGCAGTTTTATTCTGGTTTTAGAATATTATTCTTCTGTTTGGTTTCATATCACTTGTTCAATGTGGTTCTAAATTTAAAAAAAAAAAAAAAATGTTCTTTTTGGAGAGTGTCTGACCTAAATTGCAGAAGTTGACTTTTATAATTTATGCCTTTGATCTGTATGAGATTCTCTTTATAGGTAAGCCCACACTTTTGCCTTCGGAAAAATACTGTTCTTACTGGATACTGGGTCACTGAAAAGCATTTAAGTAATACTGTATTTCATCTTAGGTGACAGTTTACATAGCAACTCAGATGGATCACTAAAACTTACTGAGTAATATTTGAAGAAAATACTTATTGCACATATAACAACACTGGTGACCATCAAAATACCTACAGCTTTCAATCTCTTCACTGCATCTTCACAGATGTGCATTCCTCTGGATTCATCAACTTCCACATGACCAAGGTACTGTGGAAAGAAGGAAGACAGTTAGGGCCATTATTGCTTTTTACTTAGTAGCTTCTAAGTGGTGGTGTGCTGTGAAGTTGCTTCTGACCCATAGCAACCCAACCTGAGGCTGCAAAAAAAAAAAAGGTCCCAAACAAAACAGGCTACTGATGGTAATCTTGATAGAGTTTCTTACAGACACAGGACAATAATAAAGGTTTATTATGAGAAAGCTAAATTATAAACTGCATTGGTGAGAAAAAGGCCAGCAAAGTTGTGCTGAGTCATTTTTTTCCATCATGACAAGGATCCCCCTTATTCTTCCAGGGCAGCAAGAGCAGTTACAGAATTTGTTGGAAAATCTTAACCGTATCTACCCTATAGCCCTGATCTTGTACCTTCAAACTTCTTTTTGTTCCATAACTCAAAGAGTATTTAAAAAGCTACATGATTAAAGTTCCTTGAGGATACCCAAAATATCATGCTGATGTGGTATAAATTTTGGTAAAAGTAGACAGAGATGGAAACACCCCCTTCAGAAGTGTACAGACCTCAGCAGAGGATATGTTGAGGAACAATTGCTTCACATTTTGATATTTTTATTTACTGAAGTGTTCTATGATTTTAAAGCAATACTTTTTGACTATGTGTGTGTGTATGTGTATGAGTGTGCCCTTTTTAGGGGAGGGCAACTTTAAGAGAGCAATAAAAGTCATTTCATATGGAAAATTCTCCCTCTGCAAGACTGAAGCTGATAGTAACAAATGAGCCTCTCTGAGCGATCAGGGAAAATATCTAAAATAAGTTAATCATTATTCATACTCCTTCAAATTCCTCCAGGTTTCAGAATCTCCACTTTGAAGAGAATTATTAATATGAGGTTGGCTTGGACTTGCAGGCTTAATGATATTTTAGAATATGGTACTGTCAAAGTTCATCACTGTGTTGAGTAAAATAAAAACAATTTTTAAAACTACAGATCATAATGATATTTTAGTGAGATTGGTTCTTAGAGATCATCTAGTTCATGTAAATGTCTTCTGTGGGATAAATTAGGATTATCTAGGTGGTGCAAGTGGTTAAGCACTCAAATGCCAGCCAAAAAGTTGGCTGTTTGAACCTACTCAGAGGCAGCACCTCAAGAGTCCAACATGATGATCTGTTTCTGAAAGGCCACAGCCCTGAAAATGCTTAGCTCTACTGTGAAACAAATCCATCATTTGATTGTCAGTTTGTCATACTGTTGGGCTTGTGTGTTGGAAGTCTGTGATGCTGGAAGTTACGCTACCAGTATTTTAAATATCAGCAGGGTCACCCATGGTGCGGTTTCAGCAGAGCTTCCAGACTAAGACAGGCTAGGAAGAAAGAGAGGCAAGCCACTTCTGGGTGATTACCCACTGGAAACCTTATGTATAGCAGTGGAACATTGTCAGGTATAGTGCTGGAAGATGAAAAATTATGAACAGCAACGAAACATTGTGAGATATAGTACCAGAAGATTAGCTCTTCAGGTTGTACTGAGGAATACAACTGGAGAAGAGCTGCTTCTCCTCAAAGTAGAGTTGACCTTAATGACATGGATAAAGTTAACCTTTTGGGACTTTCATTTGCTGACATGGTATACCTCAAAATGAGAAGAGAATAGCTACATACATTAATAACTGGATCGTGGAATGTAGAAAGTATGATTTGGAAGTTGTCAAACATGAAATGGGACGCGTAACATTTGATATACTAGGCATCAGTGAGCTGAAATGGACTGGTATTGGCTATTCTGAATCAGACAATCATATGATTTATTATGCCAGGAACAACAAGTTGAAAAAGAATGCCATCACATCAATCATCAAAAAGAACATGTCAAAATCTATCTTAAAGTACAATGCTGTCTGTGATAAGATAAAAAAGATCCATATGTCTATAACGAAGACCATTCAGTAACACTATTATCCAAATTTATGCACCAACCACTAAAGCCAGTGATGATGAAACTGAAGAATTCTACCAATTTCTTAATTATAAAATTGATAAAATATGCAGTCAAGATGTATTGATAATTACTAGTGATTGGAATGTGAAAATCAGAAACAAAGATGAGGAATCTGTAGTTGGAAAATATGACCTTGGAGACAGAAATGATTCTGGAGATTATGTAACAGAATTTTTTTTTTCTTTTCCTTGTGGCATAATATGTTGTTGTAAAGTGCTGTCGAGTCGATTCTGACCCACAGTGACCTATAAGGGTTTCTGAGGAACAGCTGGTGAGCTTGAACCGCCAACCTTGCAGTTCAAACGGCTCTGCAGTGTGACACATTAACCCACAGCACCACACCAGGACTCCTGTGGCATAATATATGGTACTATTATTTTTTAGTTTAGTTTTTATTGTGAATTGAGTGATAGTTTACATAGGAGAATTTCAGTTTTACACTCATCATTTCATTGCAATGATTACAATCTCTGTGCATCATCATTCAACAGTATTTTTGCTTTTATTTCTTTTCATTTTTTGTGGGGGGAATGTACACAAAAACACTCAGGAATATATATAATCATTTAAACAACCAACGAGCACATTCTGCTCGCCTGCCTCCTGGCTGCCTGCTCTTAGTTCCTCTCTTCCCATGAATCTGGAGTCCTCAGCTGCTCTATCTCTCCATGTCTCCATCTCTACCTTCATCTCTGGTGTTATTGCTTCTCTGGATAAGATCTCGCATTCCACTCCTGCTCTTCTCCCTTGATGGTCCTAGGGTCCTGTGTTTCTGGACTGTAAGATTAACCATTCCCTGTTTTGGGTACGAAACTTCTACCTTTACAATTGTGACAGTCGCAATTAGTTATGATAAGTTACTCATCATTGAATCATATAAGAATCTTATCCCCATCTCTTTTTTTTTTTAACCCCCATCTCTTTTAACAAAACCCATCTAAACAAGATGAAAACTATTCAGCAGGGATTCTTCCTTTCCCCACACACTAACTATTAAACTAAACTCCCCCTTGAAACCTTCTAAGCCTGTCACTTCATGCCTTTATCGCCCCCTCATTTTAGGTAGCGAATGTCTAAATTGCCGATCCCCTATTGATCCTGTATATAAGAGGGGATAGCATTGATACTTGATGTGAAGACTCCATCCCTCTCTGTTGGTATTTAGAGTTACTACCTCTATGAGTACAGGTCAGGTTCATCAAATTGTATCAATTTACCCTTGTTTTCTTTATGAAAAATTGTTTCGTTCTTTTTTTTTTTTATTATTTTTTAATCTTCCGATTATCAAGCCATCGAGGCTAGGTCAAATGGGTACTATCTGCAACTCTGGATGTTCTTGTGTGCCTCCTCTCACTTTATATCAGCTGGATGCTTCACTATCAGCTCTATCCCTTTGTGGCTATGTCCTTGTCCATGGACTCAAGTGTCCCCAGGTCTCACCACACTTTGGACCAACCAGCCATTCCTCTTCTCTCGCTCATCTCCAGGTCAACAGGAGTCAAGGGACCATGGTTGAATTCAGCCCATTTCTTCATTGCTGCCTTTCCCTCTCTTCCACTCACCAGTAGACCAATGTGGTTGCCAGTAAACTTACATGCCTGCTCGTGTGTTCCCTTTCAGTTTCATGGGGTTTGTCCTGAAGGAACTTGATTGCTTGCCTTGATAGCTTCCCAGTGAACAGCTTGCTTATTCTTGTAGTAGCCAGTCATACTGAAATTTTTGTTTTGTGTTTTTCCTGATGATCTTTCTCTGAAGATGTATTTTCTGTCACTCTAGCTGTTCCAGGCTGGTCTGCTTGTCCTTTCTAGTCGGGATGTCCCACTTCATAAGGTTCTGGATGGGACTCAGGATTCCACCTAAGGTCCTATACTCTGCAAAGTCTCCACAAGAGACCCATTACACTGGGCAAGTTCTATAACCCCTTTTAGGTATTTCAATCAGTTATAGGTTGAATACGGGCTTACAAGTTTTCTCTAATCATGTTTCCCTACATTCCTTTCTATCCCACTGAAATGTCTACTTTACAATAGTAGGCAGGAAAAACCAATATTCATAAGACAGTTAAGCATCTTAGTATTATTTCCCCTCTTCAAACTATGGCTAGATCCCTGTATCACAGAGCACTGTTGTTTCAAGGTTGAGCATGCATCACTATTTACCTCTGTCCCACTTAGTCCATGCAAACCTGTCATCTGTTTTTGTTTTTTAACCCTATCTACCTTGTTCTTCCACCTCCTCCCCCTATGTGTATTGCCCTCCCCAACACCTGAACTATGACGTGTCTGCTCTAACCATGTGCTCTGCCATCACCTCACTCCACCTCTCCCTAAACCCCTCACCCCAAATCCACCATTGTGTTTACCTTATATTCCATTAGCTTTTCCCTTCATTTAAGACAGCCTATTTTATCCTGTAATCTACCTGAACTTCTCACCACCTGGATCTCTGTTCCTCTGTGTTTACCTTCTTTCACACTGTAATTGTTTTGATCATAGACTGACCTCCCAAATCCTCTGTTCTTATAATTTTATTCTGTTCTTGACTCTTCTTCCATTTGTCGACTGAGTTCTGGTGATGCTACCATATATGTCAATCTCTGGGTTTTTCTTGTTGGTTTTCAGTCCACAGAACTCCCTTCAGGATATTTTCCATCACAGGATTGGCTTTGGCAAAATCTCTTAGCTTCTGTTTATCCTGGAATGTTTTGATTACACCATCGTATTGGATTGACAGTGTTGCTGGGCAGAGGATTCTTGGTTGCCAGTTTTTTTTTTTTTCAGGATTTTATATATCTCTCCCCATTGCCTTCTTGCCTGCATGGTTTCTGCTGAGAGATCTGAGGTTAATCTGACTTGCTTGCCTTTTTATGTTACACTTCTCTTTTCCCTAGCTGCTTTCAGGATTCTGTCCTTATCTTTGATTTTGGAGAGCTTAATTATTATATGTCTTGGTGATTGTCTTTTAGGGTCTATCCTTTCTGGGGTTCGTTAAGCTTCATGAATGCTTATCTTTTTGCTTTTCAGGATGTTAG